GATATCCATGAGTTTCGACACCACCGACCGCTGCCGGCGCCGCAAACCGTAACAAAATTTTCGGTAAATTTACCGGAAATTTATGTRGAAAATACAAATACAAATAAATATTATGATAATTATAATAATAATAATTACCATGATACTAATGTAATTATTGATAAACAAATTGATCATGATGATAATAATTATAATCATAATAATCATAATTACCATGATACTAATGTAATTATTGATAAACAAATTGATCATGATGATAATAATTATAATCATAATAATCATAATTACCATGATACTAATMTAATTATTAATAAACAAATTGATCATGATGATAATAATAATAATCATAATTACCATGATACTAATGTAATTATTGATAAACAAATTGATCATGATGATAATAATTATAATCATAATAATCATAATTACCATGATACTAATATTATTATTGATAAACAAATTGATCATGATAATAATAATAATAATCATCATCAACATTATAATAATAATAACTATGGACACCATTGCTATCATAATAATATACAGTTACATAAAACACCGGGACTTGACTATCTATTAGGTGGTAGTGGTAGTGGTTGGGTTGACTATCATTATAATCAYCCGGTGCTCAACAAYAATATGAATAACTATCAACCAATTAAACATATAGTATGCTATCGGAAAACCGGTATAAACATTATATACCCAAACCGCCTAAACGTGCCCTAACTTATGATGAATGGCTAGCGAATAGATCGGATCGTTTGAAATTTTTACAATCATTTATACACGGATTTGGCGGTCTGGGTAGGGGTGGTCGGGAGGGTTAGACCCACCCCACCCCCACTACTAAAATATTTTTTTTCTTAATATAAATATATAYATATGTTATAAATATCATACTTTTAAAAAACATATGTTATATTTATATTTTTTTGAGTATATTTATTGAATAGTATAGTGTTTTTGTTTATCAGTAATATTAAGTGTTTTTTTAAAATAAACAACTATTAAAAAAAACATAAAATTCAATTAATATTATTATTTGTTATAATATTTTTTTTAATAGTTGTTAATTGTTTGAATGTATTTTTTAATTACGAAAAAAAATTTTAAATAAATAAATATATATTTTTAATTACAACAAAATTTAATTAAATAAATAATAATTATTTTTTAAATACTTTTTTATATAAATATTAAATATATTATTTTTATTTAAAATATTTATCTATTTTTCAAATAAATCATTTAAGATATTTTATAATATAAATAATAATACATTAAAATAAAAATTGTAATTTTTTTTGTTGGYTAAAAATATCAAATATAATACTTTAGTAAAAATATATATACAGTATATATATATAAATATATATATATATAAATTTAGTTTACAACAAATTAAATTATTTTTTTAATTTCTAAAATTATCTAGCTTAAAATATTAGCTTTTTAATATTAAAGCAACACAATCAAATTTAAACATGGTAATTTTAACCCGGCCTCGGTAGCGCAGTAGGTAGCGCGTAAGTCTCATAATCTTAAGGTCGTGAGTTCGATCCTCACCCGGGGCAGTTAAATTTTTGTATTATTTATCTAAACTTTTTTTGTATAAATATTATCATTATACTAATCTATTATAAACCACTTAATAATATTATTATAGATTTATTTAAATAGTTTATTTATACTTGAAAAATGATAACATTAGAAATAATAATAATTATTTTTTTTTAATTATAAATAATATTAATACAGTTTAATATAAAGTACTGTATATTATGTTATTTAAAAAAAATTGTTATTTTTGTCTATATTTGWAAATAAAATAAAATTTTTAATTATAATAWTAATACTGGTATTGCAATCATTTTAATAAATGTTATTATAATTTATTATTTTTTTGCAAATTAATTAAATATTAAATAAAAATAATATTTATTATTTTTAACATTTATGGTAAAATTGACTATGTCCAATTAAGTATTTATTATTMTACAACTAYTATATCTATATACTAAAAAMAACAAAAATTWWATTTAAATAAAATATTTTTTTTGTATAAAAACATAGATTTTTATTTTATTGTATATAAAAAAAAATAACTGATATTTAAACCACAAAAAACATATTAACAATAATAAAAAATTTTAAATAAAAATTTTAAATATAATTGTAACTAATTAATATATTGTAATAATAATAATAATAATAATAATAATAATAATGTATTGCAAACAACAAAATAAGCAAGCTCAATTAAAATTGATTGTATTAGTAGTAGTAGTTTTGTTAGCAATTGGTGGCCAATATTGTTACGATGACAACAACAACAACAACAACAAAATTAGGTCAACAAGATTTCGTATGTAAAATATTTTTTAAAAAAAAATTGTATCATGGTTAATTTATCAATAATTAATTAATTAATTAATTTTAGCATGCTTAAAATGGGGCTACAAGTGCCATATGTATGGCAATTGGGGCTATTGTTGTAGCGGTGTTTGCCGTAAAAGTTGGTGGAAAAAAACCGGTTATTGCGGTTAATAATAATTTACCCGATTTACCGGGTAATCCAAGCACCCGGGATCATTTTCGAAAAAATACTAATAATACAAACAGTTTAATAATTAGTTTTTATATCATAGTATTACAGTATATATAAACAGTGTATTTAATTGTTTAACTAATAATTTTTGTTTTTAACTATATAAACAATTTAATCAAAATTATTGTTATTATTATTATAATTAATTTTATTATAAAAAAAATATTATTTTCATTAATAATAAATAAATAAATAATTGTAATTTTATTACACAATTGTAATGTAATTCAATATATATATGTTTAAATAATTATTTTTTGTTATTATTATTTCATAAAATAAAAAGTTTTTTTTATTATTATTTATTTATTTTTTTGAAAATATAACCTAAACTTGAAATATTTTTTTTTTGATAATTTAATAATTATTTAAAATTGTCAAGATCATATAATTATTATTAAAAATTTTATATATTAATAAAATATGTTTAGAAATACTAAAAAATAATTTAATAATACTTTTTTGGTGTATCATTTAAATAATTTATTTTTAATTTTATCAAAGTTTAAATTAAAAAAATACAATAAACTAATTATAAATTTGTTATTTATATTTATGGAAATAAATATTGTTTAAACAAAAAAAAATATTAATAAATTGTTAATTATTTTAGTGATTTTTTTTATTGTTGTTATAACTAAAATACAAAAAAAAATGTTTTCAAAATAATTATTATTAATATTACCATAATTGTAATAATAGATTTAAAATAATAAATAGATTTTTTAATATTAAAATAGTTTATTTTTTTAAAAATATGATATTACAATTATGGTCATTTAACAATTTACAGATAAAAATATAAAATAAATTGTTATTTTTTACTATAATTGGCAATTGATTTATTTGGTTGTTGTTGTTGTAAAATAAGCAAAAAAAATGTTATCTATAATAAACAATATTTTAATTATAATTATAAAAAAAAAAATTTTGATTAAATAAAAATTTTATTTGAATAAAAATTTCCGCTACTATTTAGTATATAAATCAAAATTAAAAATTTATTAATATTAATTAACATTTAATTATTCAACAACAAAAAATATTATTATAAAATTTTTTTTGTTATTAAAATAATAATAATAATAATAATAATACTAAATTGTATCATGCAACAACAACAACAACAATTGCAAACTAAGCTAGCATCATTGCTATTGATTGTATTGGTTGTCATGGTGATGATGATGATGATGAACCAATTTGTTGATGGTAAGTAATTTTTAAATTTTTGTTTAAAAAATTAAATTATATTTAATACATAATAATATATATATTAAATATTTAAAAAATGAGCTAGCTAATTAAAATTAATTACTATTATTATTATTAGCTTGTCGTGTATCGGGTAAACGGTGCAATCCTAGTAAAGATTGGAATGTTTGCTGCAGTGGTACCTGTAATAAGTGGAACAGTAGGTGCGCCTAAAATTTTTTTTTTTAGGTAGTTCCTCCTCAATAGGTATAGGTGCCCATTATTATTATTATTATTACTACTATTACTATGTACTGCATATATGGGCACTAAATATTAATTATATAAACTATATCTATAATTATATCTATTTATTATTATTAACAAAAAATTAAAAATTTAAAAATTATTACATATTTAGTTTATAATACTGTATATTATTTTTTGTTACTAAAATAATTTTTAACAAAATTTTTTAATGATTACAATTGTTTTTAGTTTATAATTATATTATATTTTTTTGTTAACTGGTGTTATTGTATTTAAAAATTCAAATTTATAAGTTTCATAATAATAATAAAATTATTTTAAAAATAAAAATTTGTTACCTAAAGTAAATTAGAAAAAAATATATTACATTTAGATAAATAAAATTTTAAAAATATTGTGTATTTAATCTATAATTATAAATAAAATATTATATTATTTTTTGTTGTTGTTATTATTAAAATAATTTTTATTATATTGAGTTGAAAACTGTTTTTATAATATTGAATAATTTATTTATTAATAATTTATTATTATTATAATTAAATATTAATTAAAAAACCATAGAAATTAAAATATTATTTAAAAATTTTAATGAAATACTTGTTGAAACAAAAAAAAGTATTAAATTTTATATAATTATATAATAATTATTTTCTACAATAATAATTTATATTACATTATTGTTATGAAAATTGATAAATGTACTCTTTTTTTAGTATTACTGTATACTATTTATTTAAAAATAAACCAACAATATCAACTATTATTTAATTATTTATCTAATATTGATTTAATAATAACAAATATTAAAATATTATTATTTCAATTAATTTAATCTGATATGTTTATTAGTTAATAATAATTTTTTTTGTTTGTAAAAAAAGCTAAGTAATGTACAGTGTGTCCAACAAATAACATTATTATTATTATTATTATTTTACACAATAATTTAACCGATGTTTTTTATGAACAGCACATTTACCCTGGGTAGGTATTTTATAGTCGCCATAAAAATTACATATTTTACTACAACATGTTGATCCACGTGTACAGGGAGTATGACCATTGTCGCATTCTAAATATTATTTTTTGTAAAAAAAATATTTTTAAAAATATGTAAAAAACTAATCTAATTATATATAAAAAAATATTTTAGTTAATAATCTAGTGTAATTAAGTTAAACATTATTAATATTTCAATTAAATAATAGTTATTAAAATATTTAATTAGATAATAGTTATTAAAATATTTAATTAGATAATAGTTATTAAAATATTTAATTAGATAATAGTTATTAAAATATTTCATTTAAATAAATAATAGTTATTAAAATATTTACTAGCACATTTTCCATAAAATTTGTTTAGCTTAGTCAATTTACATATACGACTACAACAATTTTCTGGATGATTTATTCTACATTTTTCATCGGTTATTAGACAATTATCTAGATAGATAATTCAAAAATTATATTAATTAATATAAAAAAAATTAATATACTTATAATTAATAGATAATTAAATTCTAATAACTTAATTAGATTTAATTATTAACAAAAAAATATTTTTAAAAAATTTTTTATCATTAGCCATTTTTGTTTTTGTACACTCTGTATATATACTATACATTAGAAAAATATTTATTATTATAATTAATTAATAATTTTAAAAAAAAAAACAAAATAAAAAAAACAAAATAAAAAAAACAAATAATTTAGCTAAAAATAATCATATAATTTTATTTGTTTCAAAATTATATGATTATTTTACTTTTTAAAATTTTATAAAATATTATATTTTTTATAAAAAAAACTAATACATACTATGTCTATTAATTTCAAGCATAAAGCCATCACTATCATAATCAGTAAACATTGCCAATTGTATGTTAATAATAATAATAATAATAATAAATGTAATCATCATCATCATCATCATTGATGATAATTTATCATGATCACTTTTTTTTAAATCAAAAACAAAACAATTACTATTTACCTTAAATTTTATTATTAAATGTTTAATATGTTATAGAATATAATAAATAATTTATTTTAAATGTAAGTATAATTTTTTATAAAAAAAAAATTAATAGTTTTGTTTCTATCTCTATCTATCTATCTATTAAATTAGTATAAAATTATTATAATTTTTTATAGAAAAAAAACAAAATGGTGTCATCATTAAAATTTTTACATTAAAAAATTAATTTCAAATATGTTTTTATTTTATTATTAAAAAAATGGTGTTATTTTTAATTAAAATTATTTTTTTTTATTTATTAATTTAGACTTTAAGACAGCAGAGTTCGCACATTAAACTAAAAAAAAACTATTAATTATAAAAATTTTAATTTTAAATAAATCATTTAAATTTCAGGTAAAAAATTAATGATGATGATGATTGATTAAATTTTTTTTAATTATATTACCATGGTGGTAAATTTTTTTTTTAGTTTAATGATAGTGATGATAATAATAACAGTAATAATAATTACTGTACTAATTATACAGTTTAATAGTGTATATAGTAAGTAATTATTATACATTATATATATATTAATATTATAATTAATTTTATAAAATATAAAAAAAAATATTTAAAATAAATACTATAGTATATATATATATATACTATATAACTAAAACTATACATAACTATAGTAATTAAACTATAATTATTTATTTTATTTTTTTTTAGTTTATTAGTAGTATTAATAAAAATTTATTTTAATTGTTTAAATTTTAAAATCTAAATATTATTAGAGTTTATTTTTTTTTTTTGATATTTAAAAAACTAATAAAATTATTAAATAATTTTAATAATTTTTTTTTTAAAATTTCATTAATTTTCTAGATTGTAAAGGTGCAGATGATTATTGTAATAATAATGATGATTGTTGCGATCAAGTATGCTATAATGGTAGATGTATGTTTGATCCACCATTATCATTACTACCATCACCACCATCACCACATACCGATTAATAAATAAAATCATAGCTGGCAATGCTATATATTTCCATTTATATATATATATTAAAATAATAGTATTTTAATAATGCTAAAAATGTTAAAGCTAAAAAAATATTATAATATATATGTATGTATATTATCATAATAATAATTAATAAAAAGATATTTTGAATCTATTTATTATATATATTTAATTATTTAAAAATAAATAAATATTACATTATATTTATTTAGTTTAGTTTATTAATAGTATAATATATTAATAATTTTTTTTAATCATTGTTTAAATTGTAAACATTTGTAACTCTAATTATGTGTTTAAATTTTTTAACACGATATTTATTATTTTTTAAAAAAATTATTAAATTATTAAATAATTAGTTAAATTAATTGAAATAATAAATAGTATTTTAATAATGCTATACAAAAATGATAAATTCATATTATATATTTATATTATAATAATAGCTAATAAATAATATTTATCTATTTATTTGTATATTTAATTATGAAAAAAAATTTCATTATAGTTAAAACAAATTATATTATTGTTTTAAAAAAATTTATTTAATTAAGTCAAACAAACAAAACAAATTATTACACAATTATTGAATTATATAAAAAATAAATCATATTTAATTTATTAATTAATAATATGTTTTTTTTAATTAGCCATTTTGTTGTTGTCTTTTTTTGCCCAACCACCACCCCTAACCCCACCCCCTAATTGAAACTGGGCTTAATTAGCACATTGGTGGTCTACAAGCTATTTTTGATTAATTCAAACAAAAAATAAAACAATTAATTTTTTTTAATAAATAAAATTTTTTAATTTAGAGTCTATCAAAAATAAATAAATAATATAAAAATAAAAAATAAATTCAACCAGGGTTAATTTTAAAAAAAAAATACTTACGTTGTTTGCCAAACCATTCCTGATGGCCAACTTCACCTGGCTCCAATTGAGTAAGTGATCCAATAATAATAACCATGGTTATCATTATAACAGTTTTCAGCATAATCATCATGGTCATCATCATTGATTGACCTTGATCATTGTTATTATTGTTGCTTGAATTTTGTTGGTAAACCATTTTTTTGTTGTATTAATTAATTAATGTTTTGCTATTATAAACTGTATATTAGTTTTATTTTATTTTTTATAATAATAATTATAATAATAAACGACTGTTTAGTTTTAGGATTAGAATATGTAATAAAATTTTTTGTTAAATATTTTTTTTTTTTACTTACAGTAGACTTAATAAATAATTAATTTATTTTCAATAGTTTTTTTTCTCTTAATAGTTATCTATTAATTAATTAATATAAAAGTATTATTATTATTTTTTATTAATTATAATTATTTTAATTAATTTTCAATATGTTTTTTTTTAAAAAATGATGTTATTTTTAATTAAAATTATTTTATTTATTGAATTAAATTCATTGCTATTATAAACTATATATTAGTTTTATTTTTTATAAAAATAATAATAATAATAATAATAATAATAATAATAATAATAATAATAATAATAATAATAATAAAGACTGTTTAGTTTTAGATCTTAGACTATGTACTAAAAAATATATTTTTTTTGTTAAATATTTTTTTTTTATTTACAGTAGACTTACTAAATAATAATTATTTTTTTCTAATTTATTTTTTTGGGTTCATTAATGTACATGTATTTAGATATTAAAATATTTAAAAAATATAATGTGATTTCAATTTCCTGTAAATGATTTATTTTTTGTTGAATATGTAATATTATATACTAACAAAAATATTTTTTAAATAAAATATTTAGTGTATTTACGCACATTTATTTGTCTATTACCTAATAGTTAATATCTATTAATTAATTGTTACCACAATTAAAAGCATACATTTTTTTTGTTAAATAAAGTAAATGTAAAATTAATTTTTAAAAAATTTAAAACATAATTTAGATTATAATATAAATAAATATATAAGATATAAATCAATTATATTATTATTGGGAAATAATTAACTAAAATAATAATAAAATACTTAATTTTTTTTAAATAAATAAAACTATATATAATAGTTATGTAATAAATCTATTGAAAAATTATATACTAGAGTAATGTTATGTAATACTAACTGTTAAAAATACATAAATAATTTTTTTTTATCAAATTTTTATTGTTTAACAAAATTTCATTTATTATTATTAGTAATTGTTAATAAAAAAATTAAGACTAATATTAAACTTTAAATATAATAATAATATGTTTTTTTGTAAAAATTTTTACACATCCCTTAGTAATAGTAATGCAATAAAAATTTTATATTAAATATAATAATTACATAAATAATTTTACAGTAGTTTTGTAATGTATATGTAAAAATAAAAATTAATTAATTAATTAATATACAAGTATTTTATATAAATTTAAAAAAAATCAAAATGGTAATCTTAATAATTATTAATATACTTGTATATTTTTTTTTTAATAAATAATTTTAACTTAATGAATTAAATGGCGATTTTTTAAAATAATAATATAAATAATTTTATTATTAAAAAAATCAATTTTGTATAGTTAGCATAGTTAGTACAGTAGTCAGTATAAGTTATCAAAAAGAAAAATTTTAATTTAATTAATTTTTTTTGAAAAAAAAAAATTTAAAAAAACTATGATTGGACAACTAATTGATGTTGGTAAATTATTATTTACCTTGATAACAATTAGTATACTGGTAGTCATACTACAGTTTGATACTATATCAGCTGGTAAGTTTTTTTTTAAAAAAAAATTATAAATTTTATATTTTAGTAGTAGTAGTAAATGATTATAATTTTTATTAAAAAAAATAATACTATTAAATATATATATATAATTATTAGTAAAAATAAATAACAATAACAACTATTATAATACTGGACATTACTTAATAAAATAAACTACAATTTAATAGTATATTTAGTTATAATTTTTAATATTTAATTTTTTTTATATTTAATAAAATTATTAGAATTTTTATTAAATCTATATACAAATATGTTTAAAATATTTAAATTAAATTATTATATTATATTATATTATATTATATTATATTATAATTATTTTTTTTCTTGCTGTCTATCTCTCTGTCTATATCTCTCTGTCTATATCTCTCTGTCTATCTCTCTGTCTATCTCTCTGTCTATCTCTCTGTCTATCTCTCTGTCTATCTCTCTGTCTATCTCTCTGTCTATCTCTCTGTCTATCTCTCTGTCTATCTCTCTGTCTATCTCTCTGTCTATCTCTCTGTCTMTCTCTGTCTATCTCTCTCTTGAAAACTACATATAATTATTACATAATATAATTAAATTWRTTTTTTTTTCTGTATAATTGTTATCTAATTTTTTAATACTAATTAGTTATATATTATTATTATTTTAATTTAATTATTATTTTTAATTTTTTTAAATAATATATATATAAATAAATAAATAAATATATATATATATATATATATATATACTGTAGAYATGSCTACATGCAAAACATGGGAAGATTGTACTGGYGATGAATCGTGTGTTGGAAATTATTGTGTAATAATTGGATAAAAACAAAACAAAAAATTTCAGCATGGTTAAATTGGCAATGATGATGATGATGATTTTAATAATAATAATATTTTTTTTAGAAAAAATTAATTAATTAATTAAAATTAAATTTAATTATTTTGTTTATGTTATGTTAAGTTATATATAATAATTAATTTAAAATAATGTTTTAATAAAATAATTTTTGTTTTTTAGTTAGTTATTATTATTATATTTAATAAAATCTAATAAATTAATAAATTTTTAATAAAATTTATAATTATATTGTTTTATTGAGGGGGTGGGGGCGAGAGTTATTAATATTATTATTATTGGGGAGGGGGGTTAAACAATTAATAGTATTTCAGCATGGTTAAATTGGCAATGATGA